TCGAGGTGGGCGCTGAGGTGTGTAGTAAGGTGGTGCACGCACTGGCAGTGATAACGAAGCCACAGGCGTATGGTCTGCTGTTGTAGGCACAGAAATGGTGGGTGTGGCAGAGAGCGCGGCAACTTCGGCGTACGTGCGTGTCTGGCGCACGCAGGGACTGTTGGAACACGTCGGACGCGATGCGGAGGCGATCTCTTGTTTAATCAGGTCTCGCAAGCTATCTTTTTCAGAAGGGAAAGTAACTTCCGCAGCACAGGAAGAGCAGCCCCCGTAAAGCTCTTCACGAACAATGTCGCGAACAAGCGCACGCAAGTCGAGGGGTGCAGGCAAACGAATGTCGGTGGCATCGTAGCAAAGGCGAAAAGACTGAAGCTCGTCAAGTCGCTGACAGATGGTTATCACGTCCTGGGTGGTGGCAGGATTTTGCGTGGCGAGGGCGTTAAAGGCGACGGCGTTAATGCCTTTAATAATGTGGCGTATTTGTTCGTTCTGAGACGTGCCGGTGTTAACGCGCTTGCACAGTGCAAGGACATGCTCAATATAAGAGGTGTAAGATTCACCCGGCAGCTGCGTGCGTTCAGCGAGCTTCTTCTTTGCTGCCTCAGTGCGAACTGCAGGGGCACCAAATATCTGACGAATTTGCTGCTCGAAAGTGTCCCAGTCGAGAAGATCCGGGTGGTGGTTCCAGAACCAAGTTTTCGCAACATCGGACAAGTAAAATGGGACGCTGCGCAACTTCTGTGGATTGTACCACCTGTTCAAATCGCTGACGAGGTCATAGTTCTTGATCCAGTCTTCGACATCATCGCCTCGGAGACCGGAAAACACAGGTGGATCACGCAGGCGAATGTTGTTGGGCGGAACAGGTGGCGATGGCTGCAGTAGGACGGTGACGTTGGATGGGCCAGGGTTTTCTTGGGCCGCCATGGCAGGGGGTTGTATGCGACGAACCGAGCAAAGCTCCAGCGACAACGGGCGAGAGGACTTGAGGGAACGAAAAGCACCGTCCACCACTTGTGAGGAACCGGTTTATTCAGCCAGACTCGAGCTTAATCACGCTGGTGATGATATGTACAGACGAAGAAGATGTACAGGTGATGATGTTATCAAAGAGAATAAAGAGTCATTCACTTGTTGTGCTCACAATGTATATGTGTATGTATATATATATATATATATATATATATATAGGTATGTGTATGTATGTATGTATGTATGTATGTATGTATGTATGTATGTATGTATGTATGTATGTATGTATTAACAATATGCATGCAATGGACCTTAGCACAGCTGCTATATTTAAGTGGTGCATTTCTCGTTCGACTACATTAGACTTGAACTAGTTTTAGGACATCATACTGTCGAAAATGTAAAGTTTACAGTGCACATTCGTACAGAGACGCGCTATATTAGGCTTCACCAACTGTAAACCTTCGGCGCAAAGCTAGCACCCAGAATTTTTTTGAGGGGGGGGGGGAGGTGCAGCAGAACCACTAACTTTTGCAATTGGCGGTCGCTTTGAATGCGTGCAAATATTTTAGTATACCCTAAAAAGTTAAATTGCGAAAAAATTTCATGGTGCAGAAGGTTCAGGTTCCCTCCCTCTCCCCTGTCTACTAACTGCCTCCTGGTTCTGCGTGCGTTTGAAGTGGTATTTTTTTAATCTCACAGCTTTCTGAGTGCAGCTAACTTTCAATATATCGGCTCAGTTATTCTGTATATTGTAGACCCCTAACCAAGGAAGAAAGAGTCAAGACAGAAGAAATCCTTATAAGACACCCCCTTTCTGAATTATTTTCTATCTCTACAAGGGCTCTCATGGTGCTCAAGTTCAGTAGATTGGCCTGTCATACTTCAAGGACTACGGCATATATGCTAGACATGAATGATGGACAGGTACGAAGAAATCTGAATTAAGAAAACGCAACGGAGGGGCTGAAACGCATAGCAGTTCCTGCACGCAGCGCGCGGCTCTTTCAGTACTATTCGACTGCAGCACCGCCGCTACGGGCAACGCGGAAGGGATCCGGCGGCGAGGCGCGGTCTCGCCACTCAACACTTCTAGTACACTCTACCACAGCTGCACCATGGTGCATTTGGAGTTCACCACAATGACAGCATGAGACAAAGAACAATACTATCTTGTGTCGTCCTTCACCTTGTGATTCAGACTTTTAACACTGCTTTTACTATGGCATGAAGTTTAAGAACTAGTATGGCGTCTTTTCACTGGTACAACTGAGTCACAAAAACCTCGATTTCCTTCTGGCTAACTACCTGGCCATGAACTCATGCAACCAAATTAACACATCGATAGCAAGGCTCAGTCTTGCAAACCCTGCCACCGGAGTGCTGTGTACATACTTCGATACAAGGGATCACAGAATTGAGCACAACAAAGCAATAAAGAAACAGAGCGCACTAGCTAAAATGGTGCAGTGAAGGCACTATACAGTCTAACCTTGAAGTCTGAACAGTAGCAAAGTGCTGTCATTGTTACTACCCTAAAATCCCGAGCAAAGGCCCCTACCCAATGAAGCGCCGCCTTTTCCCCTTTTTGAGAGATTTGAAATATATGTGCCAATGACCGAACAAGCAACGCCGCACCCCACCTCTTGCCATTTTTTTCCCCAACCAGCTGCCATTGACATTGTAGCAAGCAACCAATATTGCAGCAGGCTACCACTGAAGCATCGAAACAAATCGCCGATAACAAGATTAACGACTAAATATGGCAGCCGCCTCACTTGCAACCGAAGCGAAAATCGGGAACCATGTTGTGGAAATAGTCACGATTTTTTCTGGGGGACAAGCGTTTTCTTTCTGGTTTTCCAGAAACCTGCGACCCGATGGCAACGAATGGCCCTTTGCGACAGCCATAGCGACAGCAAATCCTGTCATTGTTGCTCAAAAGTTGCGTGCATGTGATTGAGCCTTAAAGTTTCTTATTTGCAGGAAGAGACCGTCGGTTGACGGGGGAAGTTTCGTGACCTTCACTCGCTGAGTGTTTGTCAGCTGCGATGTCTCTACACTCGCACCATTCGTAAATAAAAAAAACAGGTACATGCCGTGCACAGATAGAATGAAAAACTATACGGCACGTAGCAGTGGGCGAAAGGGGGGAGGGAAGGAGCCGAGGTGGCCGAGTGGTGTCGGCATAATAATAATAAACAAGATATCCAATGGGCAAGAAGGCACCAGAGGTGTTGGTATCGGGACTGCAGCGGACAAATGTAGGAGGTGCGCTTATTATGCCGGGAAAAGAAAAATCAAAATTTTGAGGACTCAAGTTGGGGTTGCATTTGTTATGTGAGTGTATTTATTACGCAAATAAATAGGGCAATTAGAGTTGTGCAAATAGCAACATTTTGGGTGCGAAGAGAATCAAAATATTGAAGAGTGGGTGCAAATGAAATAAAATATTTTTTAAATACTTTTAAATATTTCTAACCTATTCTTTTTTATTACTGCAAAGCGAAATTGCACACACACACACACAAAAAAAAAGCTGGACAGGATTCCTAAGCATGTTCTTACAAAATAGCAACATGTAAGTTCTTTTTTGGTTAGGTCGATGAAGGAGAGGTGGAGCTTCATAGTTGTCTTATCAAGAATGAGGCAATGCAGAGGCTGAATGATATTTATGTAGTGCATTATTGGTGCAATCTAAGTGTGGCCAACGGCAACTTTACACGTGAAAAGCAGATACTATTTCCTTAGCCTCTGCTGCCCTTTCAACTTCTGTGGAAGTCAAATTGATGGCGCCGACATGGATGTGCTCGCTTCTAGTCCAAAGTTTCAAATGTGTCTCGCACACATCGATATATAAGAACATCTAAAATTTTGGATGCTAAAAATTTTGGCAATTTTTCGGACTTCCTATCTGAATTCCAGGTTCATAGTAGCATGAATTGAGCTCTACCTCCGCCACATCCATCATCTACATGTTGGAACCAGAATTTTGAGTATAGAGATACATTTGCAACCATAGCAAAGCCTGAAAGGTGGCTTTGCTGCAATGCGAGAATTTTATAGGGTGAAGCATACTAAAAATTTAAAGGAGCAACAGCTTGTGGGAAGTTGACTGTATTTTTCTTTGGGAAGTTCAAATATAAAATTCCACTGCGAATCAAATCGAATAGAGTAGAGAAAAACACTGCCCATTTAAAAAATATTCATATCAATATTCACACAATCCTACAATTAATGATTAAAAAGTAAACACACCCGAGAGCAAACACAATCGGAGTAATTATGCCAAGAGTGTAGGTTTGGCACGTGAGAGTAAGCGCTATGTTATAGTACAACTAACATACAGTCTTAGTCTGCTTACAAAGTCTTTGATATCATAGTCTAAAGAAAATTGCAACCACAATGAAAAGCAATTAATGTCATAAATAAGAGCAAGGAATGCACTGTCATAGCTCTGAGAGAGTACATCCTATGGCACTGGCACTTTGGGTTTACTATGCCCAGCATCCACGGCCTGAATGAAGCTGCTGCAGTGTTGCCGAATGCCCCCACATCAAGCATTGTGTGTTGATGTTTGCCTTTGTGATTGCCCAATGCTAATACAATTGTTCGGGTTTAATGTCTCAAAAGCACAACACCATTATGAGAAATGCCATCATAGAGTGTTCTGGAAATTTCAATCTCTTAAGGATTTTAATGTGCACATAAATTTAAATCATGAGGTCCTCTAGCATTTTGCCTCCAATGAAATGTGGCTACCATGGCTGGAATTCGATTTCGCAACCTTTGGGTGAGCAGTCAAGCCCGATAACCACCAGACCACCATGACAGGTGTGATTGCCCAATGCTTACATGTAGTGAAGAAACAACATGTAAACAAATCTGGACAAATACCCAGTGTGTACAGTTTAACAAAAAGCTGCAATAGAAATGTCAGAGGGAACAAAGGCAGCTCATACAACAGAAAACGAAAAAAATAACGAATACTTGCTTTGCATTTGTACATCAATGCTTGATAAACATACCTTGCTCGATCCACCTCTTCCAATAAGGTTCACCATTTGATACATCTTTCCATTTATTTCAATGTCGAAATATCTCTGCAAGAAAACAAAAGCAAAAGACAAAACACTTCTAAGGCAAGTGAACGTTAGCAAAGCCTCGGTATAAAAATACGCACATACGTATAAATAGAGTCCAACCCAGAGTTTTCAGGTTGTTTGCTGCTCAGACAATACTTAGCAGTGCGACAATTAATACTAACATACTGTACACACTCGACTAAGGGCCACGCTCGTGTAAGGGCCGCTCTACCTCCCCCCATCATGGCAGTCCAAATTTTGAAGGAAAAAAAAAGGGAGGGAGGGGGTGTCTCGGCAGTAAATGACAGCCTCATAGCGTCCCGTGCACGGCGCATTTCGCAGGAGCCACCAGATGGCAGTAGCTATCCAGCAGCTTTGTCACCAGTGCTATCTATGAGCTTCGCGCCTATGGCACTATCTGGGAGATCTTGTCGCTTTTTTCCCTAGCGTCATTGATCGTCTGCGCTTGCGTTCATTTTGACGAACGCCTATAGCCCAACCACTTGCGGTGGAAAAGATAAAATATTTAACCGCGTTCAAATAGGTTTTTCTAAACGTTCATTGAAAATTGAATGCGAATTTCACACATCTGCAAAAAGGCCGCTCCCCATCAAAATCGTGGAAAAAAGTGCAGCCCTTACACATACAGTAGGTTATAGAAATAAAAAATTTTGAAGGGTCACATCACCTCATATGGTTCATTTTTTTTTTGTTGCATTATTGAAGACGTGCCAAATATAGATGCAAGCTCATTCAACTTAAAAAAAATAAAGGAAGGGGGAGAGAGGTAGAGCAGGCCTTGAATGTATAGGCTCTACTCTTAAAAGCTTATTTCGTACGTTTCAGAATCAATCTTTTTTTTTTTTTCTTTGCGTGCATATGAACTGGTGACACCTAGCATTCTAGGCCTTGTACTTCAATAATTACCCATTAAGGAGGCAGACTCATCTTAGACATTTTTTGTTTATTTCTTCAGTGATCTTGATCCAACTGCACAGGCTTATGCAATTTTTTCTGCTAATTTCAAATATGTAATTACATTTCCTGTAACTCATCTTGTTTCTGAGATAACCTAAGGTCCCTCCCAATTATTTAAGGCCAGCATAGAAAAAATGTGCTTAATTAAAAGTGATAATTAAGATATGACAATATAAACTAACAAACTAGAGAATGAATGTATGCAAAAGTTTTAGGTCTTTTGGATTTTCTTTGTTATTTTACAGTAAAATGAACTTTCCATTTTCAAAGACAGTTGGAATTGTGTTACAATTTTGATGAGTAATTAAAAAGGCTTGTATTCTGAATTCTGCTCCCATACTTGCATTTTATACACAGACAGGTTTCCATCGCAATAAAGAATTATTGTTGTACCTGTCCTAGCGGCAGAGATATTGAGGCATCAAAATTGAATACATAGTCGTAAACTTACTTTTTTTGAGAAAAATTTTTAAAAATACTGATAACACAGTTTCCTCAAAAAACAATCACAGTGTGCATGTTTTGCAATGCTCATAAAGGCGCTCATAAATTGGTGCCAGAGCTTTGAACATAGGTGCTGGCAAATTGTAAAGAAGCCTCGAAGTAGGCTCCCCTTTTTTTGCAGGTTCTGCATTTTGGAAGCAGCAAGCATCTGGACAGTAGAATGACATTACAAAAAATTACCACTTCCTAGAGCATGAAACTTTGCAGAGAGACAAAAAAATACTTGCAGAAACCAAATATGTCAATTTAAAAAAATGAATTCTTTTGGCACTTTTTGGTCCCTAGAACCAGTCTGCCCCCTTATAATAACAGAGTTTTCCTGAAGATGAGCAGTGAGAACATGCTGCCCATCATGCAAGACTGACTATCCACCCATACAAGTGTGTAGTAATTTGTACCCCCCCCCCATTCCTCTCTAAATTTTTGCAGGGATATATGAGTAAAAGGGGGAAAATGCATATTCATGCGTGTATCCCCCTCCCCTTCACTTTCACCCAGTTTCAAGGTGTTTACGAAAAAATCGTGACTGACCCCTCTTCTTAGGAATCGGTATAACATGAAAGTGAAGCATGTCTTCACAGAGACAGTAGAGCATTTTTTGGGCATTGTTCTGGCAGAAGGGTGAAGGAATGATGCTACAGGAACAAATTCCAAAGACACGCCAAGAAAGGCAAGCAGCTTGAAACATGCAGCGCACACCTCAAGCAGAAAGCCTGCACACAATGAGTATATACAAGACAAGTGGGGACAAACAACTGGACCAGCTCGTCGCTTAAGGGACGCTGCTCAAACAGAAAGATGCACCAAACAAACGTACATGTATGCACAATACAAGCGCAACAAGTGTCAAAATTATTACTTCTTCCTGCTGTTGTATTCGATGCCATGCCCTGCTGAACTACGTCGGAGAGCCGCAGGACCGCGAAATAACTGCTCTGACTCAGTACTTTAAACAACTCTGTTTATTCTTAGTGTATAATGGTTAATTTACACTAATGTCAGCTGACATGACAAGGTGTGTGCGTGTGCATCTGTGCGTGGCTAGGGCTATCTACATAATAATGCACATGCTGAATACAACATGTGCGTGAGCAGTGTGCTCCTTTCAAAAAAGCGGCCAAGGCAGCGAGCGAAGTAACCTTTGGGCTCTCTTTAACCACAGTAACTTTGAAGCAAACTTGCGGTGGAAGCACAAGAGGTACAAAGCACCCGAATCCTGCAATACTTAAGCGAACGAGTGAGCGATCCCACCAAAGGACATCTATATGCACTTTGATCATGCCATGTGGAGGGGTACACACATTGCAACACTCGAGCTAGTGCGGCGAAACGACCTTTAAAACGCACACGCCCAATGTGCACCCCCCCCCCCCCCGCCGCCATTTTGCTACTGATAACGAAGACTCGCTGAAGTTGCTTGAGCTCTGAGGACCGGCAACGTTACATGGTGTATATAAATGGCTTGCCATAAACAAACTCGGTAACCCATGTTTTGTGGCATAGTAGCGGCTAGCGTTGCGCACTGAGGAGCGAAACGTTGCTGGTTCGACGCCTGGCTACAGAACTTTTTCTTCTCGCTTTTTTTTTGCTGTTAGTACGCATTTTACAATGTGATACCCCTGACGGAAATACGTCAGCGGAGCCGTGGTGGACCGACACCCCCGGAAAACTTTTTAGGCCTGCGCCAAGCAATGTGACGTCAGTTCCGGCTGGCCGACACTTGGGGAAGCTGCAGCAGCAGTGAGCATAGCCAGCGTAGTGCGGGTTCGTTCAGTGTGGCTCAGTTGCACGTGCTGTATGTTTGACGCTTAGTTTGTGATTTCCAAGTGATGCAACAATGCCGAATAAGTTTAGTGTACCATGGGTGCAATGGCAGCTACAAGACAGGAAAGAAGATACAAGTGTTTTCCTTCCCTAAACACGGTGACACTCTCAAGTGGTTATATGCCCTTCCTAGAAACAGTTCCGGGCCTACCTCAAGCACTAAGGTAAGCATTTGTGATACACTTGTTCCTATCTCCTCGTTTCTTATACAGGCAGTACGATAATATCGGACCATATAGCCACTGAACCTTGCAAAGCGCTCACACCAAGAGTCTATGAGAATCGGCCACAAAGTTCTGTTTACAACAGGGAGGACCAGCTGCTCTTCGTTAACACAAAGCGCCTGCTGCCGTTCATTTTTTGCAACTTATCGGTGGCATTGCTTCGTAAAGCGCACTGGCTGCCCGCTCCCGTATTTTTCTCTGATATTTCTTCGACCTGTACTCGCGCAGAGCTTTAATTTAGATGCTTTCGAAGCTTATGCAGATTTTGTTTTGACTACACAGGCTGTAAACACGCTCATGCAAATCTGAGTGCATTTAGTTGTTTTAAGAAATTGATTCTCATGTATTCATGAAATGTTTGCAGGTGTGTCCGGACTATTTTGAAGCTTCATGCATCGAGAGGATGACATCGTACACGGATCCAAGGACAGGGAGGATTATCAATGTCGCACTATCGAAGTCGCACCGCGGTTGCACCCTGGATCTGTGCAAATGTTATTTGCCGGCTGCTCGTATTACCTTTTAGTGCCAGACTACAGCACGAGAGAAACACCTAATGCTAAGAGGTGCCGGCAAGAAGCTTCCCAACTCGCCCATGCTGTGAAGGAATCACTGGCGTCACATGGAGTGAAGAAGCAAAGAGCCCGCTTTTCGTTCCTCAAAGAACTAAGGACTAGCCTGCAAGAGGAATGATGCTCTTGTGCATTCCCTGTACAGTTACATTGTTGTGTAATGCGATTTGTGTTTTTGAATTTTTGTTGGTACATATTGTTTTGTATGACATACAGCAGTACATACTATAGTTTTAGGGGTGAAGCTTCTTATGGCATCACCCGTTTGTCTTCCCTTATCGTTTGTAACCATCGCTCGTTGAGACTCCAATCCGGCCATAGATGGCACTCCTTGTACCGCCATCCAGCGGCGTACGGAAGAAGAGAGAGATGATCGTGCCAATGCAATCGTGTGTTCTTCGGCGACGCCGTGCTCCAGGGGACACTCTATAGTACAATAAAAGCGTCGTTTTGGCACGAGCTTCAACAGACACTCGTCAACGAAGGATAGACCATTGCAAGAACTGCTTTCGGTCCACTTCTCGGATCACAAAGCTGTGATAATGAAAGTAAAATGCCAACCGGAATCATCAAACAACCTTTAAAATAAAACTGGTTCAAAATGACACATTACTCACGATTTCCATTGGGATGTGTGGTGAGGTATATTTAATACATAAGAGCTTTGCCCTCTCTCCAACATTCACCCCATGGATATGCTGCCATTTTTTTTTCATCCAACTTATATATCTTGCTATGGTTCCCACTTTAGCCAACACTGTGCTGCATGTATTGTGGCTTTTTCACTTGTGTTGAGTCTACAATGTGATGCTTTGTGTGTTGTTACTACTGTGATAAATGAATAGTATATTTTTCTCAAACCTATTATGCAAATGGGGCATTTCATGTTTCAAAGTTTGGGCATGTTTTGGCAGTT